GTTGCTACAACTTTAAAAGCACAGCTTTAATGACGTGGGAAAATACCCGAACAAAGCTGAATACCATACATGTAAGTACCTGCGAAAACTTATTTCCCATGTTATTATAGTTGTGCTTTTAAAGTTGTAGCAACGTTTCGGCAGGATCTCATCTGCCATCATCAGGCTTCTGTATTGTGTTCGTCTGGGTATCCGCGAAAACTTAAGAAAATATATACACATACACATACACATACACACACACATACATACATACATACATACATACATACATACACCATACAGTACATATCTAGGTTAGCCTGAAGAGTATTGAAAATAGCAGATTAAATGGAATGGAGTGGAACGCAAAGCAAATTAGATCATTGTCATCATCCTTCCTGAAAATTTTCTTCAATCCCACAGACTATATCTACAGTATTTGTTGTTGCACAAATTGGGTAGGTAGGTTTTAATAGTTTTAGAAGGAGAAAAGGGAATTTTATTTCTGATTCTCCCCCCCCCCCCCCCCCCCCAATAACTACTTAGACAACCAAGGGAAGCTTGGTAATACAAACTGGATTTGCTGCCCAGAATCAGTCAGATTAGAAATGGAGGAAATAAATGGAGGAAATAAATGATTCAATATGTTGAAAAGAACAACATATTGATTTCTGTCTCTAGCTTAATATACTACACTCCATGGGCATTATCATTTTAAAACTGGCTGCAGTGTAAATGTTTCTGCATAGAAAGATAAAAAAAACTCCTTACTGTTGGGAATACAATCTGGGAAAATCACATATGGACTGAGAGTAGCTTAAATCATCAGCCAGCTAATTGCAGCAGGTACATCCCTGTTTATATTACTCTAGAGCTCTGTTCTTCACTCCGTCATTAAATACTTCAGATTTTACAATTGTGGGAATAGTGGGGAATTTTAAAATAATCAGTAGAGTAATTTATGATATATGATCTTCCATGTTAATTTAAATTACTTAATTGTGTAAGTATTTGATTCTGCTATATTCATTATTATAATGGTTTCCAAAGAAGCACATATTCTTTTATTGCAGGCAAAGATATGTACTCCTGAATTCCATGAATACTTGTTAACAATGTTTCTGTAAACTTCCTTACAGTCCCAGCCTAGAAAGATTCCACAATGGTTTCTTCCTAAATTAGTTGTCATTCATTTCTATCCTTCAGCCCTTGTCACTTGCTCTTGCCCCACATATGGTAGGTAGAACGGATTTCCCTTACTCTGGAAGTTATTGATATAGATCAGCAAACTTCAACCTTTCTGGCTCTGTGGACTGGCTGTGGTGGCAGTGCCTGTGGGCAGGAGGGGATGGTTTCACATGTGCAATCTAATTCCAGGCATGCAAGTTCCAATCTCACCAGGCTCAAGGTTGTCTCGGCCTTCCATTCTTCCAAGGTGGGTAAAATGAGGAGCCAAATTGTTGGGGGCAATAGGATGACTCTGTAAACCACTTAGAGAGGGCTTTAAAGCCCTGCAAAGTGGTATATAACTCTAAGTGCTATTGCTATTGCTATGCACAATGGAGCTTCATGAGCTCACCAGCTGCTTGTGTAGCCCAGTTCCCAATGGGCTGCAGCTGGTAGCAAGCCACGACCAAGTAATGGGCCACGGACCGGAGGTGAGGGACTCCTGGTATAGAACCAGGAATATCAGCACTTGAAAGTTGAGACCATGTTCATGATAAGAGTTAGACATTTTCTTCTAGAATTCTTACCTCCGGTATGGAGTACTAGACTGTATAATCAGCAAGGTTGTCATGACATATAACATACATGAAAAGATATGAGTGTCACGTGGAGGAAGGCAATCCTGCCCCAAGTGATTGTACTACAGTTTGTTAAATATGCAGCTAGGGGGAGAAATGTTTTTTTCAATGCTGCTTGGAAAGTTGTTGTAATTGATAAAACATTACCTTCACTAGAAATGCATTCAGCAAAGAGATTATACATATCTCTAAATGCAAGTTTAAAGTTCTTCCAACTCAGTACCATCTCTGTTGCACTGCTCATTCCTGATGAAATTAGAGAACCAAAGTTGCTAATATTTTAAAATGCCTTTAATGCCTTTAAAAAGGCATTAAAGATACATTTTTGTGACCTGTTTTCTAATTGTTGACATTTCTAATTTAACTTTTAATTGATATCGCGGTATGTTTTATTCTGATCTTTTGTTTTGTCTAATACTGCCATCAGGTTCTGATAGTCAGCAGTATAAAATTTAGTTATAAATCATACAGTTTGGTACTTACATCTTCTGGGAGAGGTTTTTCCAGCCAATCTCTTGCAGGTCAGCTAAATGTTTCTGTCTTTGTACTATTGATGAGTGTGCTCTTTTAAAAGTACATTTAACTATGCAGTATTGATTTTAATTATTCAAACTGAATCAAGCACTGAAATTTGCTTATTGGTAAAAATTACTTTGTGACTATCTTCAGTTCTTTTCATGCGGACAGTAAATGGTTGATGTCAGGGTTTAGAGGAAAGTTAAATTGAATGTGAATGAATATGCATGAGTATTATATGAGTTAATGAGTTAGAAAATGTCATATCCAGTTGAAATAATTGTCTTAGTAGAAAATATTGTGATTTAAAACAACTGAAGAGTAATTTTTCATTAGAGGGCAGAATGTCAAGATAATTTATTATAGTCTTAACAGTCAATATGTATATGATGTTCTTTATGATGCCAACAGTAGAAACAGAAGTGATCATATTAAGATTTTTCTTGTAAAAAATTAATCTTGAATAGTCTCTTTCTCTAAACATATCTTACTTTCAACCATGAAAGCGTTTCTATTTCTCTTTTTCCCCCCTCTAATCAGTACAACAGGGTGGTATCTGATGCTTGATTCATCAGATGACCTGGAAAAGATAATTGTAAATCCCTAAAAAAATACACTTCCTATTGAGGATAATTTAAATAAGCCATCACACTGAGTCACTGCATGATTCAGCTCAGAAATGGAGGAAAATAAGACACCTTAAAATCAAAGAAATTATGTGTCTCTATATTAGATATGTGTATCTAGGAGCCATGAGCCTTTCAAAATAGCTTCATATTTGGAACAATAAAAATAATTTTTAATTTTACTTCCCAACCCAGAACCTGAAGCTGCTGCTGAGGCAACAGAGACAGAAGATACAGAGATTGTTCAACAGGTACAGGTAAGATCTTGCTAGGAGAACCCTTAACTACAGTATATTCAAACTTTCCATATTTAAATTACTATTGCTAAAGACAATATTTAAATGGAAAACAAATCTCTTACAACATACAAAGTAAAGCCCTTGGTTATATTTCTTAGCATAACATAATTTGGTTTTAAGTTTACTTTTCAGAATCACTGATAGGAATACATCTTTGGGCCAAAGGCCTGGAAGGGGCCAAATCGTGCAGAAAGCACTAGGAGGTGGGATAACAGCATACAACTCAATATCAGCATCTGTTCAACTTGAAAAATCTTTGGATTGACTGTCCATCCTTCCTTCCCCCCCCCTTCCTCCCTCACATTTCATCAAAAGAAAGCTAGCTTCATATGCTTACAGTTACAGAGTCCATTTTAATGATTTTGTGTTAGATTATTCTTCTCTATAATAAAAGTGTTCATTCTTAAGGAAGTTTGCTTAGCATCATGGCAGTAGAAAGAAAGATTACTTTTTTGTTATTTCTATATTGTGACTTAAATGAGTTTAAATTTTAAAAAAACACCCCTGGAAATGTTTGTTTTAAATTTATAATCAGGATTAACAAGCAGTGGGTTCATTGGTTCTGTTTTGTTTATTGTTCATAACATATTCTGAAAGAGAAACTTGGAATGGCATGATGAGCAGAGGAGAAGATAATTGGGCACACGTATAGCTTGCTTTAACTTATATTCTGTCAAAACAGTTATATTCTAAACCTAAACTTATATAGCTGCTTTATTATCCAGAATGTGTTAATGGCAAAATACTTAAGTGCTGAAGGGACTAAATATGTGAATGGTAATAGATACTAAGGCAGTGCCCATCAGGAAGCAATATTTTGGACTTTGGTCAGAAAAACGGTTTGTGTGCCATTCATTAAAGCAGCTCCTTTTTCTTCTACAGTATGTTAGCCTGAGGAAAGATGTAGTGGCTACTTTAAGGAGTAAGGTATATATATTATTATATTTATATTATATAAATATAAGGGGAATACAAGAGAGTGAGCAGGCATACAATGGGGAACACACATTAAAGAGAGCCACTTAGAAGGCAAACAAAACTCTTTAATGTGAAACTGATGAGGAACCTGTCAGTTTCAGGCATAGTTGCTGCCTGCAGTAGATTCTAATCAATTTCATCAGTCATAGAACTGAGCTTGTTAACTTGCAGTTAGCACTTTTTAGGAATGCACTGGGCTGCAGAGAAAAGCAACTCAAAAATAAATACAGTATCTTGTTCTTGCAAGCTCACCATTCTGCAAAAGGAGAAGAGAAAAAAAAAAAGACACAAGACAATGTGTACTAGCTGACTGTAATGGCAAACATATGGCCAACAGAGAGCACTCCAAGGTCATGAATGTGGGCGCTGGTCACAAAGTTACTTTTTCATCACTTCCATAACTGCAAATGGTCACTGTCTGAGGCTGTCACTAAATGAGGACTACCTGTGTTTTGTTGTTGCTAGATACAAGCCTTTTTAAATAAAAGTCTCAGGATTCCACAAGTTGCTGTGTAACAATGGAAAAGCCTGGGTCAAAGTATGCAAGGCTATTTGAAAGCTACATATGCAAGCCTATCACCTCACATTTTCAGGCAGTTTTAAAAATGAATATATTCATTTAGTCTCATATGCAAATATCTGTTAATTTTTAATGAATATTTTTTCCCACTTTTCCTTTTTTAAAGACAAGGGAGAAAAACACTCAAGATATCAATAATTGCAGGCATGAAATTAACGGTGTGAAACATAGCCAGACAGACAATAATTTGACTTTGTTATTTAATGCTAAATGTTAAATAGAAGAAAACAATGCTTAGGAGAAAGAACCCAGAACAGCTATTAGAGGGAGGGTTTTTTTTGGGGGGGGGGAGATTTTTCATTTGGCTTCTGAACTATGGAATGTATTAGAATTTCACCTCTAATCACTTCGATAAATTTCTTTTTCAGTCTGAAGAGAAATAATATACTGAATGAAATGCGTACATGAATCTAGAAAAATTATTATGGAATGTAATAAATTGGATGTTCCTTGTACTAAGATCGTTGAAAAAGATGCAGCCCAGATCCCGGAAATAACACCATTAAACACCAAATATTGAACATTTCTTATTATAAATCTTTAATGTGAATTTCCATTACCTTCAGCTTTCCTGCATCATCTTATTTTCTGGACACATATTCAATAGTTACAGATGTGAAATTTAAAGAGAAGTCCATTATGATGTATTTCTACACCAGTGGTTTCCCTCATCATGTAACTGCCCTTTAGAAATCAAGATTTCATGTTGGAAGCATAGAATTAGGGAAAACATCCTTTCCCCCAAATTTATGCTCTGGTAAGCATAGGACCCTTTCTCCAAGAGTAGGAATTGGAAACAGCGGTAGTTTAATGCTCCTCTGTGCTTCAGTAGCTTCTCCCTTTTCCTTTTTACCCAATTTCAATTAAACCAAAAGAGTGTTGCCTTTCCCACAGCATTAAGCACTGTTATGCAGTTTCCAAAGATACAATAGAGTGAATACCAATTTTCATTCTACCAATCCACTTGAGTGAGTCCTGGGCTTTCTGTAGTATCTACCATAGTCATTCTTGAATGAAAAGTGGTGACTTTGAAATGACCCTTTCCCTTCTTCCCACCCCACCCCACCCCAACCAATAGGCCCTTTGTTCTCTCTTGCTATAGCAGTAGCTAAGGCTGTGCAGTTGTAGCATAGAGGAACACCAACCTATTATATGTTCATTGGGGGGAAAGTTGCAAAGTTCTTCTACAACCTTGAAAAGAGGCCTCGGGGTACACAATTATGTATGTTTTCACCACCTGTTGATCTTACTCAAGGGATTCTAGCAGAAATCTCTTGTGATCACATCCTTGTGGGAATGAGCTTCTTTTTATAATTTGGGATTTGAGAACTTTCACACAGCAGTTCTGTTAATAGGAGAAAAATTTAACCAAGGCTCCCAACAATTCTTTAACCTCAGTGGTTCTTAAAAGTATATCAATCAACATAGCCTCAGATGACAAAGCAAGCATCACAACTACTTGTTTTTTTGTGTCTTTATATGGATTACTGTACATGTCATTTACTTAATTATTGAGGTCTGGAAAAGTACTTTATTCTGGAAATTTATCAAAATATCATGTTCGGGGAACATAACAATTCTTTATTGTTTTAGATCTTCCTTATCCACAAGACAGACATTAGTCAATGCTATGCTATTTTTTGATCTTGGATACTTTACCATTGCCTTGGTGTGGAGTTACAACTGTGGATCAAAGTTTGAGACTGCGGCTTGGATAGAACCTTATGATGAAAACAGATTTCACTATTGGAATAAACAGGAGAAAAATTATATCTCCTTTAGAGCTGCAATGGAACAGTTTTTCCTCCAGAGAAAGATGTGTACATTTGGCATCGATGTTTGAAAAATTAATAACTATAATGCAGCTTTAACTTCCACCATTGTATCAATTTTCAACCCAAGCTATACAGTACAATTAATCAAATAGAATAGTCTGATTTTGCAATATATAAACTTTTTATTGTTAAAGCTGTCTGTAATTGAGTAGCATTCTGAATTTACCCTACAGCTAGCTTGAGCTGAGCAATGATTTGATGAAAGTGCTGCTTGGAAGCTCCCAACTCATTCTAAATGCATTTGGGAACTACCAGTGGTGGGACAATAGTTGGATTTAAAGTAAATTGGGAATGTTTTGCAGATGGGGTGGATGGAGGTTTGATAGTGCTACTCAACTGATTTGGGTTTAGTCTTTTCCTGCAAAAAGGTATATGTTCTTTCAGGCAATTGTACAGAACAGGTAAGGAGTAGGCCTGAATGTTGGAGTTTAGGTAAAGCATTTGACAAAGAGTATTGCATAATAGTCTGATAGCAGGTCATTGAAGTATGGATTGCATGGCAAGTCTGTCCTTGTATAACTGGCTTGAAAATTATACTTAGAGGGAGCTCATCAATGGCTTTTCATCAGAGTGAAGTGATCCATAATAATAGATATAATGGAACAGGTTCTAACTGAATGTTAGAAAACCCATAACAAAAAAGCATTGCAATTAGTTCCCCAGACAAGTAGTGGTCTCCTTTCAGTGGATATGTTCGGGAAGAAATTAGCCAACCATCTTTTGGGATATTTTAATTTGGATTTCTTCATGGCCCCTTCCAAGAGGGTGGTTCTTTCAGGAAGAATGACCTTTCTGTTTGGTTAATCATTGTGCAATTCAGGAATGTCTATGGAGATTCTCAGTCATTCAGGCTTGTCCCTTTTTCCAAGAGGCAACTGGACTTTCCGGTTTTTCTTTGATGATGATTCACTTATCATCCAAGAAGCCTTTTCAGCTTCTTGGATGAGAAGCAAAATGTCTTCAAAGAAAAACCAGAAACTCCAGTTGCCTCTTGAAAAAGCACTTTTGGGATAACTCAGGGATGGTTAGGGTTATTAGCAGGGGTGGGCTGCTATGGGTTCGTCTGAATGCGGGAGAACCTGTAGCAAATGTTATGGTCGGTTCAGACAACCTCCAAATCCCACCCCTGGCTGGCCTCTCCGCTCCCAAGAGTCTCCACGCAGCCCATTTTGGATGCGAGGTAAGTGCAGGGCCCACATGGAGGCTGGGGGATGGCGAAAACTGGGCCTCTCAGAGGCTCCAGAAGGAAGACCGTTTTCGCCCCTCCCCCCCGGAGGAAAGCCTGCGGAGGCTGGGGCAGATGAAACATGGTGTGATGCAGGAGGTCGACTAGGCCAGAGATCCCCAAACTTGGCAACGTTAAGACTTGTGGACTTCAACTCCCAGAATTCTCCAGCCAGCTATGCTGGCTAGAGAATTCTGGGAATTGAAGTCCACAAGTCTTAACGTTGCCAAGTTTAGAGGCCTCTGGACTAGGCCATGCCCACCATGGCCACGCCCACCCAGCAACCAGGCAGAGAACCCGTTGCTGAAATTTTTGAAGCCCACCCCTGGTTATTAGGCGG